GAAATGTTACCCAATGGTTAAATCATCGGGATCGAGATGCCTCTCATACCTCGATACGTATACGGATACAGATACGGATACGGATACGTCAGATAGAACAATCTCTATTATTATGACAAAAAAAATCAATGTGCTCTTAATTTTGACGATGGAACTGTATTATATGTTAATTTAAACAGATAGTTGGTAGTCAGCATTTACGTTCTATTATTTTACTTACTGTATCCAAAACCTACATGAATTGATGCGGTTACATAAAAAGATAAAAATCTCCAACCGATCATCTTTTTCTTTAAATTTCGTATTGCCCCTGTCAATATGAAAAAGAAACAACAGTTACTTTTGTTTTAAAATTTTTAAATCGCTTAATGCTACCCCCCCCCCTCCCCCCTTCTTTGCATTTTTCTGTTCAAGGAAATATTCCACATGAAATAAATGGAAATATAACCTCAAACTGATGAATGAAAAAATCGAATTTAATCAATAAGAATTAAATATTTAATAAAATTACATGTATAAATATTTGATTGTTTGATGTTATGCTTATACGACCTGAAATATATGTATTTTTTTTTTTTATAAGAATCTTCACTTTTTGTAGTTATCTTGATTCTTTTTTAAAAAAGAAGTAGTAGTTATTTGATCAAAACAGGAAAAACTACAGGAATAAATTTAAATTTGCGTTTATCTTTAATCCGTGTGTGAGATTTAATAAGGTTAAAAAAAGACATAAATGTTGAATACAAGCAGGCATTGTAAAGCTTCGTCGAGCATAAATACAGGTTTTCACTGCGAAGGAAACTTTGATACGGAAGTTTGAAAAAAATCTACTATTTTACATCAGGCAGATGGGGAACGCCCTAACAAAAAAGTACTATAGTTTACTATAGTATCAAAGTTTTTTCACTAAAGTAAATCAAAGTATTTTTACTATGGATTTCAGATCATTATAATTTTTGTTCTTCAATTGATACATGCACATTTTTTATATCAAAGTGAAATAATATTTGTATATTCACATATTATTTCCAAATTTTACATTTCTATTATCGAATTTAAGAGATTTTAAGCTTTGAAATCTCAAAAAAAAGTTCCAGAGTAAAGTTTCAGAGTAAATCAAAGTATCAAAGTTTTCACTATGGTTAACTATAGTAAGCTATAGATAACTATAGTGAAAACTTTAAAAGGGCGAATATACATTTGTATTTCTTTGATCCCTGTGAATGAACATTACGATATAATCCTCGAATCCATCTGAACTTTATTTACTTTTTGAAATAGATAGATCAGACGAGAGAGAGAGAGTTCTGATAAATGGTATATTTGTTTTACAAACAATGACATGTTTCGACATTAAAATTAATATGTTAAACGAATTGCAACAGAAGCAAATAACCAAATAGAAAATGCAGACACAAAATTTTATAATGATATGAAAATTCAACGAGGCATCTTGTGATGTATAGTAAATAACTTTAATTGTTCCGTTTGGTTTTACAGAAAATTATATATGAATGAACAGAGTTTTATGAAAAAGTGTTATTTTCCTACCAATGGATCTTCTACTTTATGTTTGAAATTTTGCAGAACTTTTTACATTGCGAGATTGTACGTTCTGCTTAAGAGATTATCTTTTACAAATAATTCGTAAGAATTAAGTTTGTTGTACAATATATTAAAAAGGCACAAAACACTTCATCAACAAATAAAATGACTTTGACTGTGTCATACAAACTATTCTGCATAAAACAGGGAATATCTTACCTGACACAAAAACACGTCTTAAGACCAACTATCATTAAGGTGAAGAATTTTAAGGAGGAAGAAAAATTCATACATCAATGAATAACATTTTTGCGTCGTCATGCATTACGAACATCCTTGCTCTTGACAAACCACTTAAGGAAAACAGAATATTAACAAATTAGGATTGCCTACAATTACAAACTCTTAAACTAATGTATGGACGCATCTACAAGGATTTTCTTCAACGGAAATACGTTCAAGGACGTGTATATCCAGGCTTCTTATTTGTTGCGGACCTAGGTATTTTGTGAACATTAACGGCTGATCCATTCACATTCACATTGAAAGAACGAATTTGCGATTCAATGAATTCCTTTTATTGAATAATAACTGATTTTATTTTTTTCAGATATGAATTATTTTTTAAGAAAGAAAATTTTTTCAATTCAATATTAGTTACATGGTTGAAAGCAACGGACAAAATGGGGCTGATTGCCTGGTCAAGCGATTTGAGTATTAATAATACACGCATTTAAACATTTCTGTGACGTCACCTTTTGTTAAACCTGGTCCAACAAATTTCTTATTGCCCTGCATTCCGTCCAATCAGTTATCTGTAGGTGTCTAATAAGAAGGAATATGAAGAACACGAACAATATTCAGGTTGAAAGATTTAAACAATATAAATAAGTTTGAAAAACGACAGTCAACATTTGACTCAATGATTAGGTTGTATTTGCTGACAAGGTCATTGTATTGACCATAAATCTTGCGAAATGATGACTTCAAACGAGACTGCTGATATTCTTGTTTCATCAATTTGTTTGTCAATTGCTTGCCTCGTTTTAGAAATTGTTCATACGTAGAGCCTGCTCTTACGTATCGAAACAACTGGGAGACAAAAACCCTTATATGCTGATGATAAGGGTATATTACCAAAAACGTAAGGGAAGTTGACGATTGAAAAATTGAAGTCATCATGTTTATCATAAAGCTTGTTGTTAGGTTTCCATCAAATTCTTTTTCTTATAAAATATCCAAATATGAAACAGATTCTGTCGTATCTTTTGTTTCAAGCTCAATGGGATATATGGAGACGAAATATGAATGGAAGTAACTATTGTTAATTGATAATATGTCGTCGATATATCTAAATGTCGAGTTGAAGGCCACAGCAAGTGTTTTCTTCTTCTTATGTGGAAGTTTTTGCATTAATTCTGCTTCATGCTAATAAGGGGTGCAATTGGTACCCATGGGAATTTCAACAGATTGTTAGAAGACCTGATCTCAAAAAACTACACAGACATTGACAATTAGAAACTCAAGCATCTTATTAATATTAACTTTAGAGAACTCGTGTGCACAATCAAAATGTTTTTTTAACAAAATAATTTTGCAAATGACCAATAATAAGGTAAGTTTATTTACGAGTTTCTTTTTTTAATTGAAAAAGCAGCTGTCTATGATGTCAACAAGCCTGGAGTTTAATTTATCATGGGGAATTGTTATATAAGGTGCTGAAATGTCGTATGTTATGAGGTCATTGATTTTGTTAATTTTGTGATTTCAAATTTTCTAAAGGTTCCTTGGAGTTTTTAAGTATCTGATTTACACCACTTCTCGAATATACTGTTGTACAGTATTCATGAAGTTTTTCCTTCACTGCTGTAAATATTTTAGAAAAGAAAGAGGCTTGGTAGAACATTTACTGAAACCCGCTATGTATCTTTCTTTGTTAGGATTTTTATTGAGTTATATATATATATATATATATATATATATATATATATATATATATATATATATATATATATATATATATATATATATATATATATATATATATATATATATATATATATATATTACATTTTCAACAGTGAAATACCGTGATTTATTTATTGAATAAAAGTGATATTCTCTCACAGTGTGAAAGGATACCAAAATGATATTCTCTCACACTGTGAAAGGAAATCGAAGTAAGTAAAAATTAATTTTTGGCCTGTCATAAGATAGAGATATTAACTAAGCATCTTGATAGAGCTAAAACTGCAAATTTCTTCCCAAATATGTTGCTAAAATCCATGCTATGTAATGTTTTCAATCACATAACTGCAGCGCTAAGCTATGACGTCTCAACCGCTCAACTATGACGTCAAGCCTATGACAGTGTTAATAAAAGACAGGGGCAAAGGCAAAATCAAAGAAAATGCAATAAAAAGAAAATTCAATGACTTGTAGATGAATATGGAATTTATTTCACTCGTGCTTCGCACTCGTGAAAATATCAAAAAATCCTGTCCCACTCGTGAAATAAATTCCATATTCATCTACAAAACATTGAATATCCTATATATATATATATATATATAGAAACGCAACACCTGTTGAAGCCAGTACTATTATAATGACCAACTATTTTATGAGTAAAGGTTGCAGACGTTTCAAAGTTTGTGAGCCCTTCTGTACCTGTCAGAAATCAAGTAATGACAAATATGATTAAAAATATCTTTGAATTTATTAAGTTAAAAAGCACAGAGTCAAACGCGCTCATTAATGTAGTTCAGGTCTCTAGGTGTTGAAATTTTCTCGTTATGCTGCCTGGCTATTCATAAGAAGGTGTAGAAGTTCTGAGAAGATGATAATTTCTATTGATAACTAGAAGGTACACTTGATACAGAGAAGGTGTAGAAGGTGACCTATAAACTGAAGGTGTACACAACTATGGTACCTAACCAAGGTACATATAGTGTAGATATATTAGTGTAGAAATATATACAATATAATAAAAGTAATAATTCTAGCAGAAGGTGATGAAAGTTGTTGAATTATTTCAGTTGCACCTTCTATGGAAGGTGAGTAGGGATGCTGATGATGCAGAAGGTGGTGATGAAGTTTCTAATTAAACATTACAATATCATGAATGGAAACTATGTCCTAATTTACTAAACTAATGGAGAACATGTAAAATATTCACCTTCTGAGCTAGATAATCTGGCTGGAAGAGCTGTTTCTGACTCATGATGAAGTTGACACTGACCTAACTGAAAAAATTTGGTCGGGATCGACCTTATACAGTGTTTATCACGTGACCCTTCATAATTATTCATGAAGGAACATGGCCGTCTGCGAATGAAAACATTGCTGAATTCTGCCTGGAAATGACGACCGATACAGTTTATAGAAAGTGTTTAACGATGTCTTAACATTCAGACGTGAATAGTTAAATCGTGTAGATTCTGATTATTATTTACCTTCAACTGGGTAGATAATTCTATATAACACCAGTTTCTGATAGAAAAAGTTGATAGTTGTCTCTGAACCTCCATCTAATTGTTGAATCATCTTGGGGTTGTATTTCTTGCTGGATACAAGAATTATTCGATCCTTGTTTACATGGCACTGTAGCAGAGTACCGCACAAAAGTAAACATTAATAATCATGACAATTGCTGTGGTAAAATTTAGATTGATTGATTAATTATTGTTTCACGCAGAGTATATTTCAATATTTCAGCCATATTTCGGCGGAGTAAAATTTAGAAATTTATTTAGAAATTTTTCTTCAAAATTAAGGATTATCTCCCTCATGCATAGCTCTGATCCTTCGACGTATTTGGTTTCAGTCTTTGGCAACCCCCCCCCCTTTTTTTTTAGCTCTTCAAAGTTTTTTTATTCTACACAGTAATAATTATTGATACAAGTTCTTATTTCAATATGCCTGTAATCCTTAATCTCTGAAAATTTCCATTTCAGCTGGAAATCTCAGCACTGGACCTCATGTGCTCATTGCGCAATATTTATATTTTAGATACATATAAAACTGGGCATGTCTCCATGATGAGACAACCTTTAGTTCATGATGACTTTGTGTGTGGACATTGGTATTTGAACTGGAATGGTGGTAAGAAAAATGGGTCCAGTTGTCAGGGCGTCTACTGTTGCATTGTTTTGCATAATCCAACATAATTATATACAACAATGAAAAAAAACTAGCATTTTTTTAACAGATTCAAAGTGTCGCCCGCGTGGCGCAGTGGTTGGAGCGTTTGCTCTAGAGTTGTAGAGTAAGGAATTGATCCTCACCTCGCGGATTCGAGTCCCACTGCGTGACGTGGAGACCGTTCCTTGGGACGAGACCGTATAAAACAGAGGTCCTGTGTCGCAGTAGGTGCTGGCACAAAAAAAACATCCCTCATTGATCAAAAGCCGCAGATGCCAAGTGAAAGTCTAAATTAGCAGACCTCCACCTGCGAGTGATGGCGTCTCGATATGTTTGAAAAATTCTTGAAAGGTCTGGAAATGTCACCAAATGGTAAGAATCTGCCAATCGGTCACCTTTTGGTAGACTTTCAGTAATTTTTCAGTTAACTGAATGGCGGAGTTTTGTCCTGTAAAAAATTGTAAAGTTGCTCATTTAATTCTAAAATTAAATTTGATGTAATGTGCTACAATATATTCAAGAAGTGGTGTAAATTAAATGTGAATTCTAAAAACTTCAAAGACCGTTTGGAAAATTTAAAATCTCAAAACTTATCAAACATCAATAGCATAAAAACATATGACTTTTCTACGCTTTGTACAATCATTCCTCACGATAAATGAAATAGAAGAGGTTTTTTTTTTTTTGACATCATAGACAATTGCTTCCGCAATAAAAATAGAACTCATAAATTTTAATATCTTGTGATACGTCATCTACAAAATTACTTTGTTAAAAATCTTTCTGATTCTACAACTACTCTGAAAGTGATAGTATCAAGATGCTTGAGTTCCTCATTGACAAGATCTATGTAGTCTTTGAGGATCAGGTCTTCCAACAATTTGTTGGAATTCCGATTGGCACTAATTGTTCTCCTTTATTAGCCGACCTGTTTTTATATTCCTATGAAGAGTGAAATATGGAGATAACGAACAGTAATCAAGCTATATAGTACATTGAAACAATACAAATCGGAAGCAGAGCAAAGTCAGACCTCTAAAAATATCAGAGGTGAGATCAAGGGTCATGGAGGAGTAGGCATCCCCTGTCGACCGGTCACACCCACCGTGTGCTCATTGTCATGATCGGGCGAACGGAAAATCTGTAGACAATTCAATATTTAAATAATGACCTAAAATGAGTATGCAAAACGTCAATCAGCATTCGACTTAATGATAGATTGTATTAGCTGATAAGGTCTTTGTACTTCGTCTCTATATGAATGAAAAATTCTCGAACGGGACTTAAAACAACATTCAATCAAACAATCGATATCGACCATAGAACTTGCGAAATGATTACTTAGAACGAGACTGTTGATATCCCTGTTTTATCAACTTATCTGTCAATAGCTTGCCTCGTCTTAGAAATTATTCGTGCAATGTACGTAGAGCCTGCTATTGCATTTCGAATCAACTGGGAGATATGAACTCCATATGCAGATGATAAGGGTATATTGTTACTCAAGTATGGGAAGTTGACGATGAAAAAGTTGAAGGTCATCACGTTTGTCATTAAATTTTGTTTTTAGGTTACCATTAACGTCTTTTTAAAGTAAAATATCCAAATATGAAACAAATGTGTTGGACTCTGTGGTATCTTTTATTTTAAGTTTACTGGGATATATCAAGTCGACGTATGTATGGAACTCATAATGGAAGAACTATTGTTAATTGATAATACGTCTTCGATATATATAAATGACAAATTAAAGGCCACAGCAACTGTCTTCTTTTTCTCATGTATAAGTTTTTGAATAAATTCTGCTTCACCTGAATACAAAAACAAGTCTGCTAATAACAGGGCACAATTCGTACCCATGGGAACTCCGACAGATTGATGGAAGACCTGATCTTCAAAAACTACATAGATATTTCAATCAGAAAACTCAAGCATCTTTTTAGTATCTACTTCAGAGTATTTGTGCGTACAATCAAAATAATTTTGTAAATGACCAATGTCAAGGTAAGTAAATTCATGAGTTCCATTTTTATTGAAAAAGGAGCTGTCTGCGACATCAAAAAGCATGGACTTTAATTTATCGTTAGGAATTGTTGTATAAAGTGTTGAAAAGTCTTAAATTTTGTAAAATTTTGTTATTTCAAATTTTCTAAACGTTCCTTGGAGTTTTTAAGTATCCACATCTGATTTTCACCTCTTGTCGAATATATTGTTGTACAGTACATCTGAAGTTTCTTCTTCACCGCTGTAAATATTTAAGTGAAGAATAAAGAAAGAGGCTTGGTAGAACATTTACTAGAACTTGCTGTGTATCTTTGTTTGTTAGGATTTTTATGTAGTTTACGAATCCAGTATAGGTATGGTAATTCAAATTCAGTTTGATTGTTGGGAATATTAAAATACACGTATTGCTGACATATAATTTTGAAGAATTTCCTCCTTAGAGCGAACTATGAGTATAAGTTGGAATTCCACCTGCAGAATTAAATCCAAATTCCTCTAAAATACAATTAAAATAATGAGCCTTAAAAACAAAGACTATGTTGTTACCTGCTTTGTCAGCTGGTACCAGCACATATTGATCTTGTAATCTATTCTATTTTTTTTTTACTTCTGAACAATTAAATAAAGAGAATAAATGGTTTTCATATTACCCTTCAATCGCTTAATGCTAGATTTTAACATCCATTGATACTTTCCATCCTGACAAAGTTTCAAGGTCTTCTTTTTCATGTTTGACCCGTCGCCTGACGTAAGGCGTAATCGTCCACAGAATTCATAATATTTATTAAATTATGACGCCAGTTGAAAGAACAAGGTCCCTAAATTTTGACCTTTTTAAAATCAGGGCTTTTCGGTTCTCATTATTAACTAGATATATATAGTAGAGGTACTTTTATTAAAATAATAAAAGTTGAAATGATTTTAAATGAAATAAATATTAAATATAAATTAAATAAACTAAATAAACTATTAACATGTTATAAATGCATAAATGAAAAGTTTTCTATTAAAGTTTCATTCTGTTCATTCTTTACTAACATGGGTATTTAGTGACATAGTTATACACCCCTTTGGATCAACACCTGTACATATACTTTTACATGACCACACACATATTTATTGGTCAGATTTTGAAATGGTTAGATTTCATTGGTTGAAAGTTTGGTCTTTGTGGGGTACTGAGTTTTATTCAGATTTAGCTCAAGATTTAGAATGGAGAAGACATAGTTATATTGCTGCTAACTTAATTTATGTGAAGACCTAAGACAGTTCCTGAAAATGTAAGTTTTTACTTTTTTTATGCCTTAAGATATGTTTTCCGTAATATTGTGTTATAAAGGTGGAAAACAGAATATTTTACTTTTATATGTTAACATATTGAATTATCTGTCTGTCTATTCAGATATAGATAAATCTGATGGAGTTTTCTTAGTAATTAATTTGTATATGTACCTAGAAATATTTTGATGTGAATATTTTGGTAATCAAACTAATTTAAATATCTACTGATTATGAGAAATGTATTTGTAAAGAACAATTCCTGATTATTTTATTTATTGTACATAGGTAAAAACATAAGTAAAGAAAGTAAATTATTGCATTGGAGAAAGTTCAATTCCGTAAATTGGTATGTCTATCTATATATATATTTTTATGTTTGTAAAGAAACATGAAAGAAAGATAACTCTTCACAAGACTGTCAAGAGTAATTATGTTGTAAGAGTTAACTCCCTTATATAGAATAGCTTCATTTTATCATATCGAATGAAATTGATAAATATGATAATTAATTGTAAAAGAGAAGACAGATAATTTGTTATTTTTTATGATCAGAATATTAGATAATTGATATACTTTTTGTACATATTTTTATGACGCAATTTGTATATTGCAGGACAATTCCATATATTCCATTATTCCATTAATCCATACTATCCATTTAAACTGGACATGTCACCATAATAAAAGAATAATTTAAAATCTACAACTGAGTGTGTTTTCCATCATTGCCGGGAATACCCGCTACATTTACATCACCAGTAATGGACTATAGTAAAAGGGTGAAGAAGAACATGAAACTGTAGGAGGATGTTTAACATGTTCCATATCTAGGCATTGTAGAGTCATTTTTTAATTAAAATTTTTAAAGCAATAGTCGATTTATATTTGTAAGAAATACAAGCTGTGGACTTCAGCTTGAAATATGTTGGAATACAAGAGTGGACTCTCTTGTGATTAAGAATATTACTAATATTTACTGCGTCAATTCCTTTATTGGCAACTTTTTTGAAGTTTATGGAACAAACGTGTTGTTTGAGCAGTATTTTCTTCTGTAAAAGTGGCGGTTTAGATAGTCTATGATTTGCACTATCCTTAATCACGCATCCAAGCCTGTATTC